CCTCATCATCACCATCATCATGAGCATCGTTATCACCGGCGGTGTTGTCAACACCATCAGCACCATCATCGTCAACGTCAATTCCATTGCCTTTATCATCATCAGCATCAGGATCCTTCTCCGCCTCCTCCGCCGCTTCCCTCATCATCATCAGCATCATCATCCCCATCCTCATCAACATCATCGTTATCATCGTCATCATCATCATCATCATCCTAAGCATCCTAATCATCATTATCAGCAGCAGTACGGACATCCACATTAACATCATCGCCGTCATTATCATAATCATCATCATGGTCATCATCATCATCATCATTATCAGTATTATCATCATCGTCATCGTCATCATCATCATGAGCATCGTTATCATCGGCAGCGCTGTCAACACCATCAGTACCACCATCGCCAACGTCAATACCATTACCATTACAATCATCAGCATCAGGATCCTTCTCCGCCTTCTCCTCCGCCTCCTCCCTCATCATCATCATCACCATCAGCATCAACATCATCATCATCACAATCTTAATCATCACCATCATCGTCATCATCATCATCATCATCATCATCGCCATCATGATCATCATCATCAGCAACGTCATTATCATCAACATCATCATCATCACTATCAACATCAGAGTCGTCATCATCGTCATCATCATAATCATCTAAATCATCATCAGCAGCAGTATCGACATCCATATCAACATAATCGCCGTCATCATCAACATCAACATCAGTATCATCATCATCAGCATCATCAACCATTATCAGTACCATCATCATCGGCATCGTCATCATCATCGACATGAACATCGTTATCATCGGCAGTGTTGTCAACACCGTCAGTAACACCACCGCCAGCGTCAATGCCATAACCGTTATCATCACCAGCATCAGTAAATGTCTCCGCCTTGTCCTCCTGCTCCTCATTACCATCATCAACAACAGCGTCATCATCATCATCATCATCATCATCATCATCATCATCATCATCATCATCATCATCATCATCATCATCATCATCATAATCATGTTCTTCATCATCATCATCATCAGCAGCAGCATCATCATCTTCTGCCCTCGCCCCCACCCCCACTCATTACGGCGCACCCTTCACACGTTTCGTAGCCTCATAGGGAGTGCTATCGCAGGCCCCAGTGACAGGGTTCGCATGGCGCCACCGCCCCCAGTTCGGCACACCCCTCACACGTTTCGTGGCCCCATGGGGAGCCCCACCAAAGGCCTCCATGGCAGGGTCCGAGTGGCTCCACCGCGCCAGTTTCGGCACACAGCTGTCACACGCTTCGTGGGCCCACATGGAGCGCCACCGAAGGCCCCACCGGGAGGGCTCGCTAGACGCCACACCACCCAGTTCGGCACACCCCCCACACGTTTCGCGGCCCCCTTGCGAGCTCCACCAAAGGGCCCAGCGGCAGTGTCCGCATGGTGTACCTGCATTCGATTCGGCACACCCCACAAACGCCCTGCGACGCGTGCCGGTTGCCCCGAAGGAATTCGAGCGACGCGCGCGTGTCGTCCGCGACGCGGGGTCAGAACAATTGGGTGGTTGACAGCGGGCGAGGCGCCAGGCAAAACGCGTGGGTGTCGGGCAGCACTTGAAGGCAGTCCCCGCGACGCGCGCTGGTCGCCCCGAGAGTATTCTAGCGACGCACGTGAGGCGTCTGCGGCGCGAGGCCATACAGTTGGGCAGTCGAGAGACAGCGTGACTCGGGCAGGCGGTTCCTCAGGTCAGGCCTCGCGGATAAACGCTGTGAAACCCAGCCCCTTGGCGAGGCCGTCGCCAGCCCAAGAAGACCCTCCGCTCGCCGTCGTACGCTTGTCCTCCCGCCCACACCTCAATGTACCTGTCAGCCCCCCTCCTCCCTCTCGCCTGCCTCGCGATGCTCGCAGCTGCGTATGGCTAGGTCCTTCGCCAGGACCATTGTTTCGTGCTTCCAGGAACTTCCGGACGTTTCCGGACGCTTTCCCAAGAGGCCCCCAGGTGGTCCCAAAGAGGCACCCAAGATGCCCCTAAGAGGACCCAAGAGGCATCCAGTAGGCGTCTTCGCCCACGACCCAAGCACGGTGGCGGGAGGTGCCGAAGGCCTCTAGATCCGCCGCCCCCTGCTTGCAGGGGTGCACGGCGTGCTGGACGAGCTGTTAGGTTTTGGTTTTGGTTCTTTTTCCAAAAGAACTCCCCAGTGGGCTCCGGCAGAACCCGCCACCGTGCGCAAAAACGGCCGTTTCGCTCGGGACATCCTCAAAAAATCGCGAAGATGGCCCAAGATGGCCTCCAAGTCCGCCCGAGATGGTCCAAGACGGCCTCCAAAACGGCCCAAGAGAGTCCAAGACGGCCCAAGACGGCCCAAGAGGCCCCCCAGAGGCCTCCCAGACGGCCCAAGAGGCCTCCAAGAGGTCCTCCAGGAGAGTCCGAAGAGGCAAAATCATTGATTTTCCATTGGTTTTTGAAGGATTTTGGCATTTGCGCCTTTTCGGCTCTCCGACGGCTCAAGACGGCCCAAGAAGCCCCCAAGATCGCCCAAGAGGCCCCCAAGAGAGCCCCTGATGGCCCAAGTGGCCTCCAAGATGGCCCCTAGAGGGCCCCAAGAGGGCCCAAGAGGCCTCCAACACGCCCAAGATGGCCTCCAAGACGCCCAAGATGGCCTCCAAGACGGCCCTGGAGCGCCCCAAGAGGGTCCCCCGTTGGCCCAGAAAGGCCCCCCAAACGGCTCCCGACGGCGTCAGACGTGCCAGGAACCCACCAAGATGGCCGAAGTTGGCTCGAAGCTGGCCCAAAAGGGCCCAAGAGGCCCCCAAGAGGGCCTCCAGGAAGGCCAAAAGATGCCAAAATCACTGATTTTCCCAAGGTTTTTGATGGATTTGGGCATTTCCCTTCTTTCGGCCTTCCGACGGCCCGAGACGGCCCAAGAGCCCCCAAAGATCGCCGAAAGATCGCCCAAGAGGCCTCCAAGACGACGACGATGACCATCAAGACGCCCACGTGTTCCCCGAAGGCTTTCCAAACCGATTCGGGGAACACATGGTCCGATGGCTTGGCAGGTCTGGCCTCAACGTTCGGCCACATAGGCGCTTCCACAAAGGCAGGGGGCGGCGGTGATTCGCCGTAGGCGTCTTCGATCCTCCGCCCCCTGTGGTCTTGCCGCAAAAGCGCACGGCGTGTCAGATGCGCGGTCGTTTTTGCCCTAACCCCTAACAAAGGTTGCACTTAGGGGAGTCGTACTTCTCTTCCAGGGAGCCCTGCCCGGTTTCCGGTCCGGCCGGCGTGTGGCCGCCCGTCGCTGTTCTGCTTTCTCTTCTGGGGAGCTTGGCCTGGTCGTCGGCTCGGCCAGCTCGTGACCGCCCTTCTCCGTCCGTCGCCACCGAGATTTGGTGGTCACGAGTCTGATTGTGCGAGGCTCGCATGTTGCATTAGTTTGCCTTGCTTTGCGTTGCTTTGGATGGATGTGCGTTGTCTTGCATGGTTTTGCTTTGCATTGCGTAGTGTTGCTTTGCGTTTGCATCGCTGTGCGCCGCTTCGCATTGAATTGCTTCGCATTGCTTTGCGTTGTTGCGCGTTGCTTTGCTTTGCATTGATTTCTAGTGGTTTGCAGCGCTTTACATTTGCATTGCTTCGCATTGCTGTGCATTGCCCTGCATAGCTTTGCATTGATGCGCATTGCTTCGCATTGGCTTGCATTTCCCCGTATTGCTTTTCACTGCAATGCATTGGTTTACGCCGCTTTGCGTTCTGTTGCGCTGTGCATTGTCTTGCATTGCTCTGCATTGCCTTGCATGGCTTTGCTTTGCGCGTCATTGAGTTGCATTGCTTTGCATTGCTCTACATTTCGTTGCATTGCGTTGCACTGCTGCGCGTTGCTTTGCATTGTATTGTTTGATTTGCATTGCTTTGCATCGCAGTATGTCGTGTTGTACGGTTTTGCGTTAGTTTGCGTTGTTTTGGATCGCTTTGCATTGTTGTGCATTGCTTTGCATTTGCATTTAGCTACATTGCTGCGTATTGTTTTGCAATGCTTGGTGTTTCTCTGCATTGCGTTGCATCGCGTTGATTAGCATTACTTCGCATTGCTTTACATTGCTGTGCATGGCTCTACATTGCTGTGCATTTCTTTGCATTGCTGCGCATTGGTTTGCATAGGTTTGCATGTTTCTACATTACTTTTCACTGTGTTGCATTGCATTGCCTTCCTGTGAATTGCTTTGCATTGCTGTACATTGTTTTACATTGCGTTGCATTCCTTTTCATTGCTTTGCATTGCTTCGCAGTGCGTGCCATTGCTTTGCAGTACTTTGCATTGCGTTGTATTGCTCCGCATCGCTTTGCATTGCATTGCGCTACTGTGCGTTGCTTTATATTTCTTTGCATTGCGATGCATTGCTGTGTTTTGCTTTGCAGTGTGCTGGTTTACGTTCCACTGCATTGTGTTGCGCTTTGCATCGTATTGTTTTGCATTGCGTTGCGTTGCGTGGCTTCGCGTCGTTTTGCATCGCTTCGCACTGCTAAGAATTGCTTTCATTTGCAATTCTCCTCATTGCGTTGCATTTCTCTGCATTGACTTTGACTGCGTTGCTTTGCATTGGGTTGCATTGCTGTGCATTGCTTGGTATTGCTTTGCATATCATTATTTGCAGCACGTAGATGGCATCGCATGTATTGCATCACCTAGGTTGCACCATTTTGGTTGCACCACCCTGATTGCACCGCCCATACTGTAAGGAACCACTGTTTGGGCTCCACACTGGCTAACATTTTGTTTGTTTCCAGGTCAGTGAACATATACGAGCAGGAAATACAGGCGACCACGACGACGACGGCAGCGCCGATGACGACGACGACGACGACGACGTAAACGAGGACGAGGATGACAACGACGTGGACGAGGACGACGACGACGACGACGACGACGAGGACGAGGACGAGGACAGCGGTGACGCCGACCCGCCGCGGCAGCGGCGGTGGCAGCAGCGGCCGGCAGGGGGCGTCGCGAAGCTCGCGGATTTCGGGTGGTGCGCCGAGCTCTCCGACAGGCGCGCGCGCCGCCCGCCCGCCGCAGGCCGCGGCCGCGCGCCCGCGGCCAGTCGCTCGGTCGGTCGGTCGTCGGTCGCCCGTCGTCGGCTGGTCGTCTGCCGTGCGTCGCTCCGTCGCCAGTCGTCGGTCGGTCGTTGGTCGGTCGTCGACCAGTCGTGGGTCGGTCGTCGTCCGTTCTTGGTTGTCCGTCGTCGTCGTCGTCGTCGTCGTCGTCGTCGTCGTCGTCGTTGGGCGTCGGTCGTCGTCGGTCATCGTCTGTCGTCGTCGGTCGTCCACCGCCCATCTTCGTCTTCGTCTGTCGTCGGTCGTCCGTCGTCGTCGGTCGTCAATCGTCCGTCGTTGTCGGACGTCGTCGTCGTGGTAATCGTCTGGGAATGCCTGGCGCCACGGGAGTCGAAGCGTCACGGGAGGCATGATCCCGAGAAGTTTCAAATCCCCCGCTATCACGAGGAGGAGGATGACCAGCATGAAGATGGAGGGGATGAGGAGGAAATGGAGGAGGAGGAGGAGGAGAGGGAGGAGACTACAGAAGAAGGCGTAGCGAGACGAGGAAAGAGGAGGAAGAGGAAGAGGAGGAGGAGGACGACGACGACGAAGAGGATGATCAGAGCTAATCCAACATGCATCGAATATGCTGCAATACACCCTCCCTTCCAAGTCCCCTCCAAATGAATTCCCAGTGTTCTTCACTGCGCAGGGCGCCACCCTTCCATGGACAGAAGAGCGCCCAATGGCCCCGCAATTCGGGCGGGAGCTCCACCTTGCAGGGAACAGCCGCTCTCGATGCTTCGAGCTATGGGTGGTAACCGGGCATGGCCGCGGGGAGGAGGAGGCGGAGGATAAGGAGGATGAGGAGTGGGACCAGGAGGAGGAGGAGGAGGAGGAGGAGGAGGAGGAGGAGGAGGGAGGAGGAGGGAGGAGGAGGAGGACGATGAGAGTGGGACCAGAGGAGGAGGGGAGGAGGAGGCGGAGGAGGAGGAGGAGGAGGAGGAGGAGGAGGAGGAGGAGGGGTGGAGACCTTGCGGGGCCGCGGGGCGGAGGAGTCGGAGGAGGAGTGGTCCTCTGATTCGGATGGGCTGCCCTGGCCCTGTGCGCCTGGCTCTGGGTCGCTCCGCGGGCTCCCTCGAGCTATGCGGAGCGCGACAGGGCGGCATCTCTTCCAAGTGCGAGGAGGTGCCCGGCGGCAGCCCCGCTCCGAGAAGGAGCCGCCCTCCCAGGAGGAGGAGGAGGCGGAGGAGGAGGAGGAGGAGGAGGAGGAGGAGGCGGAGGAGGAGGAGGAGGAGGAGGAGGGGGAGGAGGAGGAGGAGGATCATCGGCGGCGCTCCCAGGGGGGAACGGTGTCTGAGCTTCCTGGTCGCGCCGTCTGACCAGGCCTCGCGGCGAGAGCACCGGGTCCGAGAGCGCGCGCTGCCCTGCCTCGTGGTCCGCGCGCGGGGGCGTTCCGAGGAGGGCCTCGCCTTCGAGGTTCGAGGGAGGTGTCGTCTCTTCCGCCGCGGAAGGGCGGCGGGAGGGAGGCGGGAGGTCGGCGGAGGTAAAACGATCAGGAGGGGAAAAAACACACAGACACAATTCATCGTCGATTCCCCCAGAAAATATTGGAAAATATAGGAAGTGGGGGCGAAGACCCAAACCCCGAAAATATGGGAAAATATGGGAAATCCTGTCATTTGCGTGTATTTATTTGTGTGTCCCAGGGCCCCTTCAGTAAAACGAGGCCGCCTCCGCTGGCGGAAGCCAGCGGAAGCTAGGCGGAAGGCGGCGGAAGTGAAAGATGTACCCCGAAGAGATGACAACAGTTTTGGGTCCAGGGTTTCCGACATCGCCCCTGTGGTGATTGGCAGCACGTTTGGAGGAGCTATCCTGGGAGAGCCCCATTTTGAAAAATAGCGGCCTCCACCCGAATGGTGTTGCAAGCTTTTATCTCGAATGTGCGGGTCGCTATGACGCGAGCCGCATTTTGAAGACGGCTGGCCCTCCATCCGTGTAATTGTTCGATCTGTTTGGGCGTCTGGGTAGTGGGCTGTGGGGAAGTTTCAGGCGAGACGTTTGGCAAGGCCTACGGACTCGTCTGATGGTGCGACAGAGGTGAGTTGCTTATGAGGAAGAGGGATGGAGGATGAGGAGATGGATGGCAGTGAGGAGGAGGAGGAGGAGGAGTAGGAGGAGGATGAGAAGGAGGAGAAGGGGAGAAGGCGGAGCAGAGATGAGGAGGAGGAGGAGGAAGAAGAGGAGGCGGAGGAGGAGGAAGTGCAGGAGGATATGGAGGAGAAAGAAGAAGAGAAAGAAGAAGAAAAATAATAAGCTGAAGGACGAAACCGCACCGCACCGGTCCGCGCGCGGGCCGAACCTGCGGGAGGCGCCCTCGCAGCGGAGCGCCACGCGCTTTTCGGCGCGCCTGCGGCGGGGGCGTGAAGTCCAGCAGCAGGAGTCATGGATTATGGACAGCGCCCCCTGCGCGGGGATTGTGGACGAACCGAGACGAAAGAATGGCAACACACATCCCGAACATGCCCCAAAAGATAATCGAGACGTCGCCCCCCAGCTGTTCTTCGTCTCCCTCTCCCTGGTAGGTTCACCCGCCCCCGTCCTCTTTCATGGGAGGGAGCAGCCGCGGCGAAGGATGGTATCATTCTTCCCCCGCGGCTGCGGCGGCTGCGGAGCTGCGGCGTTTCAGTCGTTACTGCCTGCTCTGCTTCGCAATCTTGGGCCGATCAAGCATGGATTACCCCTGGCCCCGTAGGTCAGAAGCAGCCAAAAGCAACAAACCAACAAACAAAATCGTGGACTCGCACTGCCGCTCGACCCAACAGGTTTCTGTCCCGCTCGACCCAACAGGGGCTGGTGGGCTTGGAGCTGCTTGGCTATGCGACACCCAGGGGGGGGCGAGCCGCCAGCAGCTGGGCCTCTGCAGCAGCTGCGGCCAGACAGCCGGCGCCCGCCGCGAGGAGGCCGGCTTCGACATGGAGGCGCCGCGTGCCGGCTGGCCGCCTCTCTTCGCAGGCGTGGCGGTCTGGTATCGGCTCTCGGTGCCCGGGGGACGGGCTGGCCGCAGCTGCGGCCGCCGACGGCCCAGCGAACGCGGACGGAGAAGCCGACAAGCGGCGGCGGCATCCTACAGGCCGCTTCCCTCGGTCGGTGCTCCTGCTCGCGCTCGAGACGGGGGGGCGCCGCGGCAGGGCCGTCCCGAGCCGCCTCCACGGGCGGGCCCGAGACGAGGCCGAGCTGGTGGACCAGGACAGGGCCGAAGCGGCCGCCAGCACCCTGGCACAGCGTTGTGGGGCTGAGCCGTCGGTGGCGCTCCAGGGAGCCAAGGGCCGACGGCTTCGCAGCGAGTCTGGGGGGGAGTCCTAGGGGAACAAAAAGTGGCGTAAACATACAATTCGGAGGTCCGCGCAGATTTCTCGGATCCGCGCTGGGGCCCCCCGGCGGCGCCTCTGGCGCCGCCCCTGGCCGATCCGGGGGGGTCCAGCGCCGATCCGAGAAATCCGCGCGGACCTCTGAGTTTTTATGCTTATGTCACTGTTTGTTCCCCTAAATCCTTCGGAAGGCGCCGCCGCCCCCCGGGAGGCGCTGGCGGGCTGAGCCCGCCACAGAGCTCCTCATCCTCGTCCTCCTCCTCCTTCCCCTCCTCCTCCTCCTCCTCCTCCTCCTCCTCCTCCTCCTCCTCCTCCTCCTCCTAGGTGTTCCTCTCGCCGCCTGGGCGGGACACGGCTCGGGCCCCGGGCCGGCGGGGCCGCCAAGGGCCGACCCCCGAGAGCCGGCGGGTCCACCAAGTCCGCGGCAGTCTTTCGGAGCAGGTGGACGGAGAAAAGGAGGAGGAGGAGGAGGAGGAGGAGGAGGAGGGGAGGAAGAAGAAGAAGAAGAACAAAGACGAGGACGACGACGACGACGACGACGACGACGACGACGACGACGACGACGACGACGACGAAGGAGGCGGAGGAGGAGGAGGAGGAGGAGGAGAAGGAGGAGGAGGAGGAGGAGCGGGGGAGCCCTTGCGCGGCGCGCGATGCGCCGGCCCCAGGGACGCTCGCAAGACCTTCTGCGGCACGTTGGATTACCTGTCGCCCGAGATGCTCAGAGGCGTCCTCTCGTCGTCGGCGTCGGCGTCAGCGCCACCGTCGCCACCGTCGCCACCGTGTCGTCGTCCTCGTCGTCCTAGTCGTCCTCGTCCTCGTCGTCCTCGTCGTCCTCGTCGTCCTCGTCGTGGTCGTCGTCGCGGTCGTCGTCGTGGTCGTCGCTGTCGCCTTCGCTGCCGTCTTCGCTGCCGTCGTCGTCGTCGTCGGAGTCGTGGTCCTACTCTTCCTTGTGATCGTCGTTGTCATCGGCGGCAGCGTCGTTTTCATCGTCGTGGTGGTGGCGGTCGTCGTCGTTATCTTCGTCATCGCCGTCGACCCCGTCGGCGGCGTCGTCAGCGTCGTCATCGTGCCTGCTCTTGCCCCCTGCTTCTCCTCCCTGTTCCTCCTCGTCCTCGTCCTCCTACTCGGCCTGTGCGGGGCGCCGCGGTCAGGGGAGGTGCACCCGAAAACTCGTGTCCTTCGGGCCTCCCCCGTCTCTGGACGCCACATCATGGCCATGTTTAAGATCGCCGTCGTCGTCCTGATACTTCTCCGCCTCCTCCTCCTCCTCCACATTCCTCCTTCTCCTCTTTCTCATCCATTTCCGTCTCCTGCTCTCGTCCTCCTACTCCTCATCCTCTTCTTCATCATCATCATCATCAGCAGCAGCAGCATCATCATCGTCCTTTTAAACTCCTTCCCCTCCTCCACTTCCTCCACTTCCTCCTCCTCCTCCTCCTCCTCCTCCTCCTCCTCCTGGGCCAACGGAAAGGCGATCGTGCAGTGGCTCGCCGAGGTGGTGGAGCACAGGGTCGGCGACCGCAAGTGGCGAGAGCATTCACGCCGCGCTGAACTCGCCGCCCGCGCGGCTGCTCCGGTGACCTTTTGCAGTCGGGCCGCAGGGCAACAAGGTCACCGGGTGCCTGGTGCCCCCCAGACGACCGGCGCTCCCAAGGCGCGCCGCGGCTTCCAGGCCGAGTACCGCAACTCCCTGCACGATAGCCCCTTCCACGACAACATCGCGCACATCATCGGCAAGAGGCTGCCGCGCTTCTTCCCTGCCGGATGGTGCGGCCCGCCTCCTGACCTGGAGCAGCGCTGGGCCCGCCTGCGGCAAAGGCTGGGCCGCCAGGATCCCGCGGCTGCCTGGCCTGTGCTGAAGACGCTGACGGGCGGCTGGACCACTCGTGAGCGAATGCACCTATTCGGACCGCGCCCCTGCATCTTCGGCTGCCAGGCCACGGACTCTCAGTACCACTACGCATGGAGGGTGCGCTTCGCGCGAGTTCCGAGCACTGGAGAGATGACGGCCTCCTTGCCCAGCTGGGCCTGCCCATGCCAGAGGTGAGAGCCACCGATCGCCAGATCGACCTGGCCATCTTCGACATCAATGTCGCATTCCACAACTACAACGAAGCGAAGGAGTTCGACTCCGTGGGCGCCTCGCAGTTCGAACGCATCATCCGAGCGGGCCGGGCCGCCGCCTCCCGCGCCTGCAGCATCGCGCCGCCAGCGCCAGCCGCGCCTTAGCGACACGTGGCGCGCCAGCAGTGCCTTAGCTCCTCCTCCTCCTCCTCCTCCTCCTCCTCCTCCTCCTCCTCCTCCTCCGCCTCCTCCTCCTCCTCCTCCTCCTGCTCCTCTCCTGCTCCTGCTCATGCCTGCTCCCTCCCTCCGCCTCTCCTCCTCCCCCCTCCTCCTCCTCCTTCTCCTCCTCCTCCTCCTGCTCCCGCCCCTGCGCACAGCGCTTAGCCTGGATGGGCCAGTGCACTTCGCGCTCAGACCGCGGAGGCTGAGACGCGCGACCGCGCTCGCGCCCCCCTCCATCCCCACTTCCTCCTTACCCTGCCTTGCCCATCTGCTCCTCGTCCTTTCCAGCCGCCTTCTACTTTCCCGATCCTCCTTCTCATGCCCCCTTCTCTCCTCGTCCTCGCCCGTCCCCTCATTGTTTTCCCCCTCGTCATCCGGCATCCTCATCGTATTATGCCCCCTTGCTCTCCTCGTGACGCCTCCTCCTCCTCCTCGTCCTCCTTCTCCTCCTCCTCCTCCTTCTCCTCCTCCTTCTCCTCCTCCTCCTCCTCCTCCTCTCCCTTCTCCCGCTGGTTTATCCCCCCCTCCTCGTTCTGCCCACGCACCGCTTGGCCTCGTTCTGCGCCTCATTGCCCTCCTCCACACGCATCCAGCTTGCCTTACTGCTAGCCGTTTACATCGTTGCATCCAGTTGGCATAAACGTTATTCTGATCTGCGCATAGTTCGCTCGAGTCTAGCCTGGTTGTCGCCGCCCTGGGTGAATTTCAATAATGGTAGGGGACACCATAGTTTGATCGCGATGGGTCCATCGGGGAGTGGACATTCAGAGACTATTAACGAAATGCGGCCGTCCTTCATGCTCGGTTCACACTGCTTATGTTGCTATTACGGCTGATGTGCCTTATATTATAAACCTCGTAGTGCTTGTGTGGTTTTCCCACCCATGTTTGTTCTTTTCCAGGGCTGTCCGTATCCAGGGCCCTGTTGCCTGAGGAGTGTTGGAGTTGACCTCCGATCGCAGCATCGTTATCGTTCTCCCCCTCATTCCCCTCCTCGCAGTGCTCTCTCGCGTCCATTCCCAGGCGAAGAGCACAACCACGCCGTGGACATTTGGGTGACCTGCGCCCCATCTGAGAATGAAGGGGGGGCGCGTGTTTGATCGAAGGTGCCTCATTCTCAGGGAGGGGGGTCCTCCTGCCGTTACTGCTGCTGCTGTTGCTGATGCTGCTCTTACTCGTCTTAATCATCGTCACCGTCATCATCACCAGCATCAACATCATCCTCCTCCGCATCATCATCATCATCAGCAACATCACCATCATCATTATCATCATCATCATCATCATCATCATCATCATCATCATCATCATCATCATCATCATCATCATCATCCTCATCATCATCATCATCATCATCATCATCATCGTCATCGTCATCGTCATCGTCATCAGCATCACCCCCTATCAGCATCAGCAGCTGTGTCATCATCATCATCATCACCATCATCATCATCATCATCATCATCATCAGCAGCAGCATCATCATCAACATTATCAGCATCATAATCATCAGCAGCATCATCATCAACAGCATCATCATCACCATCATCAGCTTCATCAACAGCAGCAACAGCAAAGTCATCAACAAAGTGATCAAGAGAGTCCGTCGCCTCCATCTCTCGGAGCGAGGGCTGGACTGTCCAGGGAAGCTTCGAGGGCGACCGACCCGCGGATTGTCTCGGGCCTGAGCAGGACGGACGGGGGGATCGAGGATAAGTTCAATGGCTCGCCTGGGGAAGGGAAGTGGGTCCAGGAGGATGAAGACGAGGGGGAGGAGGGGGAGGAGGTTGAGGATGAGGAGG